TATTGTGTGAATCCAGCCCATTTGGCTCATTTGGGGTTCTGTGTATGGTGTGAACCCATAACCAGATTAAGTGTGTTGTGTGAAACCACCCTTTGCCCATTAAGATAACTGCATAGAAGAGCAGGAGAAGAGATGAAACGCGTAACTGAACAGAGGGACTATAGACCAACCAGAGAGTAGAGGTATTAAAAGAAAAAGCCCCCCCCCCGTTTTCTATAGGGATGGCACTGCAGAATTCATTTACTGCAATTACAGCCCCCCTCCCCACCTCATCTTCTTCCCAGAACACTGCCCCCCGCCCCGTGAACTAGAACCTGGGTGGTGACATTGAAGAGGCTCCTGGTGTCAACTTTTTCTGGTCAATATTTATATGCACACCGACTTCTTATTGTTAGTTATGGGTTTCTGATTTTTTTTTAAATGTATTGAGGTGGCTTTGATTTTAAAACTAATTTCTTAGACGTCGTTACTGTTAGAATTCAATAAGCCAGCCCCAGAGAAACCTGCAGAAAAAACAAGGCTGTCAGGGAAAATAAATACAATGGGGAAATTCATATTTTTAAAAAATCTCAAAAGTTGCATCCCAAAGTTCTGCAGAAGAGAAACCCCTATGGGCTTGATTTTTCCAAACCTTTTTTAAAAGATGGCCATCAAACTCCAAGAAATTGGAACGCCGCTTTCTTCAGGCAGACTGTAAAAATGGGCTGGATTCCCGCTAAGTTGCAGTTCCCAACTTGGAGTCTTTTTTGCTTATATCATCGCATTTTCAGATCTGTTTTTCTTTTCCCCCTTACGTGGCTGGCAGTTTTTGACATCCAGACTTGTCCGGCTGGATCTGGAGAGCTACGGTGGAGGCCTGTCTTCCGCGCATGCAGCGATCGAGACAGCAATTACTGCCAAGGCAGAAAATGTTTCAGCCGAAACGTCAGTTGGGTTGAAAATGAACGGGGCTTTGTAAAGGCCTTGGGAAAAGCCTAGAGACGTGCGTCACATTTGCCTTACAGTTAAGTCGGTCCTACCCAATGACGCAACTGAAACAGACATGAGAAAGGTTAAGGATCTTTTGGAAAGGCAGGCTCGGCTTCCCAGGGTGGTAAAATACAATAATCCGAAAGGATCCAAGTTTTGTGTGGCAAAAATGTGTGTGTGTGTGTGTGTGTGTGTGAGAGAGAGAGAGAGAGTGAAAAGCTTTGTGTGCTCAACCGGCAGGAACGGCGTTAGAGTAGACTCTGGGGATTAAAACCCTAAAAAAGCAGAGGTATCCAAGGAAATAAAAATAACATTAGGATGTAATCTTTTCTTGAAATCCAGTGTTTTCACTCTGTATTAGTATCAGGTGACAGCCCCTGGCTGATCGGTCTGGGTTCAGAAGCTGGGGGGATCAGTTGGTACTTGTGGATGGGAGACCACCAGGAAGGGCAAAAAAAAAAAAAAGCTAAAAGAAAACAGTAGAAGCACTTCCATATCCTTTACAAGAACCCTTGCATGGATACGTCCAGGAATCAAGCTCTCAAAGGAGGCTTTTTACATTTACACGTTAATTTACACATTCAATGGGTTGTGGGAACTCTGCCCTTACCTTAGCCCTTTGTGTAAAACAAGCCAGCGACCCAAGCCCAGCTTACAGACAGTACCTAGTCAATCCTGCTTGAGTTCAAGGAACTACGTAGGCACAGGCCTGGCTAGTACTTGGATGGGAGACCACCAGGAAATCACAGAGCTGCAGACTAGACTGGAGAAATTTACAGAGAAACAAGGCCCATCCCACCAGAAGGCAGAGGCAAACCGCTTGCCTCTTGGTGCTAAGAAAAGGACATAGAGACATCCGGGCTGTCACCAGTTTTGAATGGTTTCCACAGCCCGGACGACCCACACCAGCCATCGTATGCCGGCCGTGAAAGCCTTCGACAATACTTTGAATCGTTTGTTAGAGCAGCGTTTCTGAACCTTGGTGACTTTAAGATGTGTGGGCTTCAACTCCCAGAATTCCCCAGCAATCGAGCAAGGGAACCAAGGGTTTATCTGCGATCAATCAGATCTATTAAAAATAATAGCAGCTGGATTCATACAGCAGGCTACACTCCACTCAAGTAGTTTTACCCTTGATTTTGGAGGGTTATAAGATACAGGTGGAACAAAGGGAAAATATGTGGTTGAAAGGATTGGCATTTACATTATAATCGTAAGGAGAATTTTTATAAAATGATGTATCCTTGGTATATGTCACCAGAGAAATTGTCTAGATTGTGTAAAGGTGGTTCAAATTTACGTTGGAAGTGTGAACAAGAGGAATGCTTGGTGGACCGGTAAAAAAGCCAGAAAGTTTTGGATTCAAACACATACACTAATTCAGAGGATTTTAAAGATTAACATGCAGTTGAAACAGAGGCTTTTCTTTCGGGACTGATAAACAGCTGGAAAAAAAGTCATGGAAGTTTGTTTTTATATACAACAACTGCAGTGAGATTATTGCATGCGCCAAGATGGAGATTCGGTACTACCACAATGGAGGAATGGCGGGCGAAGACGAACTTGCAGAAATGGCCAAACTGACTTCTTTGATTAAAGACGAGACAGGCATATCTTGGAGGTATGGCAGGCTCAATTCCGGACCGCCACAATCAAGCGAATATTGCAATAAAGCAACTCACGTGGATTTTTTTGGTTTCCCAGTGCATATAAAAGTTACGTTTACACGATCCTGTAGTCTATTAAGTGTGCAATAGCATTAGGTCTAAAACAACTGATGTACATACATTAAAAAATACTTTATTGCTAAAAAAAATGCTCATCATCATCTGAGCCCTCAGCGAATCATCATCTTTTTGCTGGTGGAGGGTCTTGTAAAAAAACGCATTATCTGCGAAGCGCAATAAAACGAGGTAAGCCCACATCTACGTTTATTGCAGACTGGAAACCCCATATAGGCTTTTGGTGTGAAACAGAAAAAAATGAACTTATGATTTATGGTTTTGATTAGACAGGATAGATTATAGAAAAAATTGAGTTATGCTGTAACTGTAGAGCGAGAGGTAAATTTACAATCGTGCTTAAAACTGCTGTAAAGAAGATCGGAAGCTACCTCTTTGTGTTTCTTCTTTCTTTGCTTTGATCTCCCTTTTCTTTTTCTCTTTTGCTTACTTTATATTAGTTTCTATTAGTTTTTTTATCTTCTCTCCTGAAAGTTTTAATAAAATTGTATTTAAAAGAAAAGGGTGGAGCGGAAGGGGCGTGTCCTGCTACATGAACTCAGCTTGTTTGGTTAGTTTGCAATTTAATGTAATGGATGAACCGCAAACACAAGTTACAGGTGGTCCTCGGTTAATGACCGTTCATTCAGTGACCATTCAAAGTTGCGACTGTGCTGAACGAGTGGTACTTACGACCGGTCTTCAGAGTTCCAGCCGTCCCAGCACCCCCATGGTCACGTGATTGTGATCTGGGTACTTAGCAACCAGCTCGCCCTTATGGTGGTTGCAGTGCCCATGGTCACATGATCGCCATTTGCGACCTTCCCTCCCGGCTTCCCACAAGCAAAGTCACTCCTGTAAGTCACTCCCACTCCCGCCACTTTTTCTCCCGCAGAGGCCAGCTCTCATACTGCATAGTGTGTGCTGCGAAATCCCAGGGATCTTGTACTGTGTAGCATGCACCTGGCTGCCTGGCCACGCTCACACAGCACCACAACAGCCACCTGTGTGCCCTCCTACCCCTGGCAGCAGTTGCCCCTGGCCCAGCTGTGCTTGCACTGTGCTCCAGCAGCCATTTGGGTGCCTTCTCGCCCTCCAGAGCACCCACCCTGTGCCTGACCACGTTCGCACTGCAGCAACTTCTCCACCCGCCTGCCTACAAGCTGCCTGGGACCTACAACTTCCTGCCGGCTTCCCCATTGACTTTGCTTGTTGGAAGCTGGCAGGAAGTTGCAAGGAGGTCCTCACTTAACAACCCCCGATTCTCGCTTAATGGCAGCAATGGAGACTGCCGGGTTTGCCGTCACCAAGCGATGCGGTCACATGACGTCATGCTTTATGACCGCATCACTTAGCGACGGAAATTCTGATCCCAATTACTGTTGTTAACCTATAATTCAATAACAAAATTAAGAACATTGTGGAAATCTAGCCAATGTCCCACAAGATGTTCCGGACAGCCATTTGTCCATTCCTGCACTGAGTGGGGACTAGACTAGAAGGCCTCCAGGGTCCCTTCGAACACTAGGAGTCTATGATTCTTCCACCACTGGAGCTACTGTCAGAGATGCTGTGTCCCCTGCCAGCAGTGGGGAGCTGATACCATGGGGTTTGTATTTTCACAATCATGTAGCTTTCGGACTAATTTCAAACATTTTCTGCAGAAGGAGAAGTGACTCTTGTGGTCATATCTGTCAGTCCCTTCTGCTTGAGAGCATGTCAGAGTGAAAAAGAGAATTAAAACTCCCTTCCTCTCCTTAATTCAGCCCCACCGTTATGCACCCAAACAAAATACTACCAAGACCATGTGGGGCTTGATAGAAAAAAAGAGGATCCATTCTTGCAGAATGGGAACCCCCAGACTTTTTGCTCTACAAATCCACAGTTCCTTGCCCTGAACCATGCTGGTTGGAGGACCTTGGAAGTGAAATCAAGTTTCCTGAAGGACACCCCAGATCCATAGCTATCATCTCAGGTTTAAAGGGGAACGATTGAGGGTCGAGGAACCAAATGAACCACGCTCACAACCACTCTTTCCAATCAATCATTGTAACCCAGAATTGAAATATACAAAAAGATATAAATTAACCGTTTTTACAGAAGGCACATTTGTGGCTTTTTAAAAGAAGAGTCTCGTCATCTCCTTAGTCCTGTGTCACAAAACGTACGGTGCTACAGATCCGGGGCCGCTGTGACAACTTAGGACCTCTTTCTTGCTCAGCCCAGCTGCTCTGTGGTACTGGACTTCCCGAATCGTCTTGAGACACCTGATGTTCTTGCCTAAGGCCACACTTTTGATGGAAGGCAAGTATTTCAACATAGGTTTTGACAAAGTGGTTGCCACCCCTGTGCCCGACAGGTTGAGCTCTTGCAAAGAATTTAGGCTGTAAAAAACCTTGGGGTTCAAGGCTTTAATGTTGGGGTTATTGGATAAGTCAAGCACTTGGAGAGCAGATAGGTCTTTGAAGCTAAAAGGCAAAATGTCCAAGAGATGGAGAATCCCACTGAGGGACAAGTGCGTTAAGCCTTTCAGTCCCAAGAAGGCTCCTTTCTCAATTGAAGACACTGGGTTTCCATCAAGGTTTAAGTACCGAAGGGGAATTCCTTGAAGGTCTGGGATGCTCTTTAATCTGTTCCCCGAGAGATTTAAGCTTTGAATATTAGGAATGGTTTTATCTTGGTATCTCGACACCTGGCTGATTAAGTTGTTTGAAAGGTCAACGTTGATCGGTTTTCCTTGACCTTTGGATGCAAACACATTCAAGGTTACTTCCAAAAGGAGGTTGTTGCTGAGATCGACATCTCCCAGAGGCGACTGAGAGAAACAGTCATCGGGGATGGCTGCCAAAGAATTATGACTCAGGTCCAAAGACTCAAGATACCTGAGTCTTGAGAACGTTGTGGGAATCATCTTGGAGATTTTATTGTAGCTCAGGTCAAGGCCTACAAGAGTGGTGTAACCAGGCCCAGTCAACATGGACTGGTTGATGGATTCCAGATGGTTGGAGGATAAATCCAAGTAGGTCGTGTCCAGGGGAATGGGAACAGGCACTATGTGGGGTCCAATCCCACTACAGTCAACTTTGGTGAGGCTGAAGCTGTCAAAGAGACCAAAACTCTCCACTTCACAGTGGCATCTTGGAAAGCAAGTCCTTGAAGAGCCGAAGCACGGGAAAACTAGCAGCAACTGGAACCACACCAAGAAAGGCATCGCTGAAATCTGCAGAACAAAAACAAGAATGGAAAGAGTAGACATATCAGACGTGAATCTGGGGTCCCCATGGACATTCCTCAACGATGCCAATCCAGAACCTCCCTGGACAGTAACACGTTGGGAGATGGCTGGGTCCATCCTTGGCTCTTGATTCCTAACCTTTGTTTGGACAAATATAACTGCTAAAAGTTTTTGAGTTGCTTCCCCCAGTAGAGAATAGCCGTGGCACCCCTCAGGGGGATTAAATGACAGCGGAAAAGGAAATCCGGAGGGATTCAGCTGATCAGAGAATCGCATCCAGATTCTCTCTGGGATTGGGATTTGGCCCACCCGCTCTGTGGGCCATAGTGCAGAGGCCACGTGATTGCTCCTGTCCTCCTCTTCCTCCATCTCCTCCAAATTTGCCTGTACAAAGTTAACAGCACTGGGAAAAGAGGTTTTGCTCCGCCTGCCCCCCAAATGAACCAGGAACAATTTGGGACTCCACAGCCTCCAAACAGCGGGATGCCTTCCAGATGTGCTAGGCAACATGCTGGCTAGGAACAAAGGGAGCTATGGCCCAACACAGCTGGGCCCCAAATGGGCACATTGAGAGAAAGCCTGAACTGGCAGAGGATGGAAGACCAACTGGTGATGTCGTATACTACTTTATCTCAATGGAAATATTTGCTGGCCACTTCACCTCTAGAAGTTTGGGAATTCCACCCAGCTTCCCTTTGGCTCCAAACCCTGAATTGTTTAACAGATATGCCCCTTGATTTTGCAAAGGTCTTCCTCAATAGAAAACTGCTTTAAAAGTCCATGCACACACACATCCTTCAACAAGATCTAAATGAAAGAGCTCAAAATAGCCAGGTTTTGGGGTTGGGAGGGGTGGGGTGGGGGACTTGGGATCTGCAAGACACTCTGCTTATGTTCAGAAAGGCACTTTAAGTGGAATTAGCGAAGTATTTTTTTCCGCTGCATGATTTTCCCCTTCTCAAAGTATCAATCCTCTTGGATTTACTCCTCTGTTACTAAACTTTGAAAAAAATCTGCCTTTGCCCCCCTGGGGGGGGAAACTATGAAAGGGTTGCTGTAATTTAATAAATGGGAACATCCATTTCAAAAGTAAACTAAGGGAGCTGAAGGCTTCTCAACCATCCCATATATTGTTAGTCGTTTGGGAAGCAAATGTAGTTTTTAGCTCCACCGGTAAGGCCCATAACTTTAAAGTTGGCTGGCCCGTTTCAAACCTGAAATGACTGAAGTCCTGAGTGAATTTATAGGAATGGTCGTTTCAAGGAAGGAAGCGAAAGCGAGAGCAGGACGCCAATGGAAAGAGGGGAGGTGACAATAGGAATAAATTATATACAGTAGCCGCCGGAGGAGGAAAAGATGATTAACAGCTTCTATTTTTAAACAGGAAAGAGACATGCCAGCTCAAGGGTGAAAGAAGCAGCACAAGATAAATCAAAACCTCAAATGATGCTGCTTTTATAGCATTGCTGTGCTGGCAAGAGAAACCCTTGAACGCTTCCCCGTTCTCCAAAACGTTTGCCAAGCTTTTATACCAGACCCCTGAGACTTTTCAGCCCATCTACCTGCATTCGAGACAGAATTCACAGCTCGTTAGGCAGGCGATTAAAGCCTTTGATGGTTTCCAGTCGGACCACTTTCAAAGGAAAGAACGTGAAACCAGCCTCACTACAACTCCCATGTTGTGCAGGCATGCCGGCTGGGGCTTGAGGTGGAAGACCCAGGCTGAAAGTCCTGCTTGCGCATCAAAGGAAGGAACGTAAAGCAGTTTCTCCAACTCGCTTTCCAATTTTCACACTTTTGTGCACAGAGGCTCACACCTGACCGTAGGGAAGCGATGGCTATCAGCAATGAGAAGTACAAGGCATACACACGCAAGTATTTACATTGTGTAGTCAGGGAGCAAGAGGGAGAAAACATTATCTATCTATCTATCTATCTATCTATCTATCTATCTATCTATCTATCTCCCATATTTACACATCTTTTTAGAAATTAGTGTTGGGCCTAACAGGTTTACAGTCAGGCGAACACCTTATACTAAGCCACGATCATTTAACTCAGTGTTTCTCAACCTTGGCAACTTTAAGATGGGTGGGCTTCAGCTCCCAGAATTCCCCAGCCAGCAAGCTTTAAGATGGGTGGACTTCAACTCCCAGAATTCCCCAGCCAGCAA